GCCACCCTTCGAAAAGGAAGCTACCGGACATTGAACGTTTACTTCCAAACCGATCTCCAGGCCTCGCCTGGACAAGCAGGGCGCGCTTTCGGGCACAGAGGCGCAGCCACCAACAATGACCTGGCATCGAGTGTTCTTGGATTCTGCACCTTGCCTGATTCGAGCGTCAATGCTACTAGCCCAGCTTCTCACTATGTCAAGGATGGCTGCAATGTTTTGGCCAAAACAATGCCCGGTGGCTCCTTGGATCTTTACAATCGAGGCGGAACTGCCATTCACGAAATTGGACACTGGCATGGCCTTTTGCACACATTCCAAGGGGAGTCTTGCTCAGTAGATGATCCTGGTGACCACGTAAGTGACACGCCACAACAGTCCACCCCGACAGATGGGTGCCCTACCCAGAAGGACTCTTGCCCGGACTCTCCTGGCCTGGACGGGGTCCACAACTTCATGGATTATTCATCTGATGTATGCTATGAGAGCTTCACACCTGGACAAGGAGAGCGCATGCGGAATATGTGGGCATCAATGCGTGAAGGAAAGTAGCATGACGGTGACTGGTAACAAATCCCATGCAAGCTCTGTATGGTGCCCATTCGAAGCCATATGTACACATGCACAAGACGCAAGGTTAGAGAATTAAGCCAGCTGGCTAGGCTAGTTCGTTGCTGCAATTTAGAGAAATGCTACCTGTCTTAAAAACATTGAACGAATATCATGCGTGAATATTTGAATAGAGTACAATCAAGGGACGTTAAAAGACTAGTTTCCGCCCGATTAACACCAATAAATGTGTGTCTTTTCTTGTTTTCCCATGCACCGTTGGCTCGAGTCAAATCGTACAAGTATTTGATCGGCCTTTCATGGCCGATCAAGAGAGATGCAAGGCGCAAGTAGCCCAATTTAATTTGCCCGGAGATTTGAACCCAAAGTGCAAGAAAGGAAGCAAGAAAAAGCAAAGAAAAAAAGTCATTTGAAGCTCCAGTGGCAACAAAATGGTTGATTAGCGCTTGCGTTTGATCCCGCGGTCATTGTCTTCATGGTCGGTTTCCTTGTCTTTACGTTTTGCCTTTTCCTCAAGCGCATCCCAGTCCTCACCACTCTCCTCGTCACCACTGAAGTCTTCCTCGCTAGCATCGGCACTCGCGTCATCATCAAATTCACTGTCTTCCTCGGAACTCTCGTCCCCGGCTGCAAGCTCTGAATCGGACAACTCGAAAGCTGACTCCTCTTCCTCGTCTGAACCATTCTCAGAGTCTGACTCGGCTGATAGGAATGACCAACCCCCATCGGCAAAGAAGCCATACGGATCGCTGACGACTGTTTTCATGATTGTGGTCCAATTCAGGTTGAGGGGACCCTCAGTGAACGCAATGTCAACAGAATCAAGCCAGTCCTTCACACCCTCCAGTGCCTCAACAGGAATCGTGTTGATATGAACGGGAGTCCGGCGGAAATCCTTGAAAACGAAGACCATGTCAAAGTTTTTCAGTCCAAACTGCGCACAAATTAGTAAACCAGGCCGACAAAATGGTGGCAAGCAGAAAACGTTACCTGAACTCTCTCTAGATGGGCAATCTCGATTTCATTCAACGTGACGGTTGTGAAAGGAGGTTCAGTGAGCTGAACTAGGGCATCCGTGGTCGGTTGAATCAAGACATTGGAACGGTTTGGAACACCGGTAAATCCAATTTCCCTGAAGGGGATATCAACATCGACACCCTCGTCCTTGCCAGCGTCCGCAATTTTCTCGGCAAAGGCCTTGAACTCGCGGTCCAACGCAGCTCTCCGTCGTCTTTCCTCCTGTTCAGCCTCGAATTCTTCCTCATCTCCGTAACGGTGTTTGCGCCGTCGGTTTCCAGTTTCATCAAACTGCATCTCAGTAGCCTCGCGATAGAATTGAATATCCTTTGTCTTTCGCTTTCCAATCATGATAGGCGTCTTGAGATGCACATGGATTAGAACGATCAGTTCATGGGCACATGGTTGGAAGAACAGATGCTTCACGTTGCTGAAGAGCACGTCGACATGCTCATTGCGGAAGGGCGATAGGTACCGAAGACCATTTTGGTGAATCTCGACTTCACCCGGAACACGCTTGCCATCCAGCGGAGGTCGGAGGTAGACGTCCGGGAGTTTCACTGGACGCCGGTTTCTAATTTCAACCAGTTTATCCTGCTCAACAACATCTTCCAATTCCTTCTTCTCCTGCTCTCGTCTCAATGCCGTCTTGCGAAGTTCGGTGATATCCTGGGCGACTCGTGCAAGACGGTCATTATCCTTGGACCGGAGAGTGAGGTTGCGAACAAAATGAGCTGATAAGTCCTCAAAGGGCTGGTCATCCTTTCGACCCACACCCTGACCTGGAGACAGGAAGTTGATGCGTAGGTACGCGTATTCTCCTTCGTCGCTCTTGCTGGCGTTCTTTATGGTGTTGATATGAAAGGGAACGGGTCGGCCCATGATAGGCACAATCACCGTTGATGTCTTTTGGTCGACGTAAACTGTAAGGTCTTTGACCTTGGCAGGGAGTTGATTGTCGCGCTTGTAAGACTCAAAGCGCTTGAATTTCTTCTGCGCGACCCCATTGTCGTCTCCCGTAGTCCCTGTGAACCTATCCAAGCCTTCCTTTGTCTTCTTTGCAGCCAGCTCTTTCTGATGCTCTCGACGACGGGCTTCAGCTCCCTCATTGACTTGAGTGGGTCTTTCGGCACGAAGCTTGGTTCTTGTGACGTTTCTACCAGCAGTTGCGCTAGACTTAGTCTCCTTTTTCTCTTTCACAGGCTTCTCCGGTTCTTCTTCATCACCGAAATAAAACGAGATCGAGTCCATATCAATACCGGCGTCTTTGGTGAAAATATGAGGCCCACTTTCCCCGACACGAACAGTATCGGTGATGACCATAGAATAGCCACCATTCTTGGCATTCTTCGAGTCCGGATCCTTCACATCAGTCAGCCCGATCGTGATGGACAGTGTCATGCCGTTTTTCAAAACGCGGTTATTTTTGGCATTGAGGACCATGTTGGCATCCCGAAGCTCGATTCCAATCCCAGCGCCAACGTTCTTGACAAAGTGTCCCTCTAGCTCGGGCTTCTTGGAGCGGATGAGGCTCAGCGCTTTGTTGTAAACGTCCTTAGCGACCACACCATCTCGAACCTCTTTCATGGTTGCTTCATGGAGGCTTAGCAACAGGGCATAGTTTGCTTCTTGTGATTTGGTTGGGTCAACCAAATAAGTACGCCCAATGAGCGAACTGTAAGTCTTGTATCGGATTCCAAAGCTAGACAAAATAATGCCGGGTTCGAGGTTTTTACTGTCGGGAGTCGCTGTGAGCTTGAGATCGTAGGCGCCTCCACTTTGAATAACAGGCCCGTAGGCCCAGTCGATTTGCTGAGAATCAAATTCCGAGGGCAGCCGCGCCAGCTTGTTGAAAAATTTCCCATCGTCAATCTTTGCATCGACCTTTGCAGCAAGGGCCTTATGCGTCATCTTCTTTTCTTCGTCGAGCAAACGGGACATCTCATCGACAAAGTACTCCGACATAAGGCCACTGCAAGCTCTGGAAGCGTTGCGGATTGAAACCTTTGAGGCTGTATCAGCAAATATTCACTTGTTAACACACTGTCATGGATAAACTAACTAATTCATCAGAATCTTTCACTGCAAAAGCAGCAGAGAGTGCAGGCGCTACGTCAACTTCCTCCACTTCTTTCGATAGTTCCGCAAATATGCGTTTCCATTCATCCGCGAAGGGTCCCGAAGCGGTGTTTTTGGGCAAGGTACCGACTTTGTTCTGCAGTTGTCGTGGTTAGTGGAAAATCAACCTAGTGATTCAAAGGTTATTTTAGCTCACCCCTGCGCCCTTGATAACGTCCAAGCATTTCTCGAATGCTTTGGTCTTTGATTCTGGGTCTTTGGTAGTGACCAGAATCTCGACGGGAATCTTTCCGTCTTTCAGCGGCTCAAGGTGTTTCGCTTGAATTTGTTTTAATCAGCTGTGGTGCGCAAAAGTCCATGGGTCGACAATCACCTTTCTTGGCCGTGGTGACCACGTAAATTGCTTCGGTTGTAAGAACAAACAGTGTCGCTGGGAATTCATACCCGAGAAGCCAGAACTAAGCACAATTTCAATTAGTAACGATCTCATAAAGCCCATGGGCCTCTATGGGACCAGGATAGGACTTTGGAAAAGGATTCACATACATGCATCGCGTTGTTCTTCTGGAATGAGTTCTCCTCATCGGTCTTGCCCATCAGAATTACTATGGACCCTGCATTGCCGAAGAGGGTATTGCCGGAGCGCTTGTCGGCCTTCCATGACGCATAGAAACTAGAAAGACGGTTGAAAAAGTTGTTACTGTCAATAGCGATCTCCTCGGCCATGATGATGACCTGATGCGAGCAAGATATGCCGCAGTCAGAGACTAGGTTGGTGGCAAGAGAGCTCAGAGAAGCGTAGGAGCTATCGTAGGTACGTCCGGATGTTAAATTCGTTGAGGATGAAGAAGAAGGTAGATATGAAATGAAAGCAGCATCAATGCGACAGCTGCGATGATGAGAGACAAGGCACCGATAGAGCTGGGTGATGGAAGAAAAGACAAAGATAGAAAGGGACGGCCTAGGGGAAAGCGAACGCGAAAAGCGCGTTCTTGCACTTAAGGTCTCTCCCGATTACTGTATCAAAGTATTACCACTTTTGTACTAGCGTTGTTTTTCCATCTCTCTTCTCTTATTGAATCCGAACATGTTTTTGTGAATATCTCTTTTCACTGACTTTCTTTTTATTTTCAACTTTCAAGTCAGCATGGCATATGTGAGCCTTTACTTGGTCATTTGATTTGATAAAAATCACACCCTGTGATGCTGCCCTCTTTTTCCGCCTACACCACCTACGCTTCGGAATTCACTATTGACATTGAGCTAGTCTCTCTTTGAGACCCCACAAGCACCCTTTCCTACGATGTACACTGTGGCTTTTTAGTTGTCCGTAAACAATGAAGTCTCCGATAGCTCCCATCCTTCTCGAGCCCCATCTCGGCGAACTTCCAGGAAGTTCGCGAAGGATTTCTCGCAACGATGCAGCTACCGGAGCATCTGCCGCAGGTGTTCGCGCTCTCAGTGCACAGATGGTAGCCTTCTATTTCAGAGCACCGATCAAAGCTTTCTTCCGTACGCGTGTCGAGTATGTAGTATCTATGGACCTAATGATCTTTGTATTGACAATATTTCCTTTAGCTATATGGTACGCCCTCCCGCCATCTACAGTAGATGAGAAAATACAATCAACCCATCACCAGCCTTCGTTACTTATCATTTGAAACAGGCATTTGCAAGAGCTGTGAACCCCCGTGTCGCCGAAGGCAAATGGTCTCTGCATACGACAACCCCGGGATTATTGCTCCACGCCGTTCGGACATATGGCTGGCGGTTTATCCCGAATCAAGTGCTTCCACCGTTGATGGCAAATGCAGGGTGAGATATTCACCAAGATAGGGGCCTAGGTGGTTTGAAAGCGCTAACGATATATACTAGGGTTGGCGCTGTTCTCTACACATCCTATCTCCAGGTTTTGGGAGCCCTACATGAACCTCAGTCCCAAGGGGTCAAGCGAGTCTGGCCCCCAGCTCCTCCTTCTGCAACATTTGCAGCTGGATTTACCGCCGGCACAATTCAGTCGATTGTAGCCGCCCCTCTAGACGCGTTACAGGTTCGCTTTCAAACCAGTGACATGCTGGAGGGTCAATACCGGAGTATGTGGCACTATGGCCACCATAAGCTCAAACAGATTGGTCTCCGTGGGGTCTTTGCGGGCTGGAGCCTCTCGTTTATGCGGGATTCACTCGGTTATGCTGTGTTCTTCTCCTCGTTCGAATACATCAAGTCACAGTCCTACTATTCCTTCGTCACTTGGTACTATGGCTCCCTGCAAGTCGATCATGTGGGCATACTTTCATCGTCCGAGTCTAGTGATCGCGGTGTGCCACTCATCAAACCCCACTACGCATTGGAGCCATGTTTCCTAATGATGGCTGGTGTTGTGGCATCGGTCGCTCAGCAAACCATTCAGCATCCTCTAAGTAGGATTCAAGACCTTCACCTGGGTCGACTGGAATATCTGGATCACCAGGCCAGTTTCGTACCCTCGCGGCAGAAGATGATACGATTATACTATCACGCTTATCAGGAGACCTTCAAGAGGTGCAAGCGAAAGGCTGCCCGGACCGGAGGCTGGCCCTCTTGGTTGTTCCGTGGGTTCATCGGGAGCTCTCTTCGCCAAGTACCTAGCACCAGTGCCGGTCTGATCATTTTTGAATTGGTGCGCCGACGGTACGCAAATCCGGCAGACGCTGTCCATATTCAAAATGATGGATATGACATCCTTCTCACTTAGCGGTTTATATGACCGAGTTTCTTATCCCCTCTCCTCTTGGCTTGTTGATCCCTAATTTTTTTTGGGCTTCGTTTTTTCTTTTCTTTCGATTGTTCATTCTGGGGAGGGCGTTACAGGGATGGAATCTTGTTTCATTAGACCTACATACAGTTATGTACATATACACGTGATACCCGACTCCGGACACCTGACAAGATAACCTTGATCACTGATACAATATTTTGACTGAGATATACTCTTCATGTTATTACCTAGTGACATACTTATGGTATATAACTGTGTACATAAATAGTAACTGATTTATCGATCCATCCCGCATTAGATGATACGATCTAGTCCGTATTCAGACTAGTCCGTACCCCGTATGCGTACAAATCAAATACCGAGGTACCACTTGGCATTACATAGTACATTTTGGATGTCTCTCCTCTTATTTAGACTTGCTTGTCCTCTTTTCTCTATTTCGTACTTCCACTTGATCCCCTTACTATTTTAACCTAGCTTCTCGAACACTTGATGAAAATCTTCCGAATCCCTCTATTCTATTCTATATTTGACTTTTCTTGGCTGTGTAATGCTCTTACTTGGCTCGGGACCCTTACTTTTTGCCCAAACGCACCCCCTCTCTCCAAATCTCCGCCTGATCATCACCCCATTTTGACGGTACTTCGTCATCCTGCGTCGCGTGTGACTTTACGTAGCTAGTCGCCCGCGGCCACATCGCCTAAGTGGCGCCCTATCGTGGTCTAATACAGTGACTTTCAAGGTTGTGCCCAGGTGATACCCTTGCTGACTCCTTGCGGAGAACCTCTTATCGATATCATTAATTTCATCGACTCCGCATTCTTTTCTCCGGAACAAAGGGCTGCGAGGTTCAGCCCGTCAATACCGCCATCATTTCTCCGACTTCTCCCCCACGCGCTTCTAACATACCCCTCCAGTCCATCCAGTCTATACCCTCTGATTCCCGCTCGACAAATTCGGCTAAGTTATCGGAGTCCAGCGAGAAGGGTAGTCGAAGGTCTTCCCACTCGTCTGCTCGCTCGGTCGGGTCTGACTTCTCAATCTGGTCAGACACCGGTGACCTCGCCGAGCAGTTCGCCGAGGCTGAAGATCCACTGCAGATTCACCTTCGCAATTCCTCGGACCGACAGCTCTTGCGTCGAAAGGAGCGAAGGAGGCAGCCCAAACACGTCCACTATCCTTCAAACTTAAGCAACGAGCGTTGCGGTGTGGATATTGAAAAAATCAGAATACCAAATCCTCCCCCGCGGCATATTTCGAGAGTTGAACGCGTTATGGCCGCTATGATGACACCCAGAAATGGACCAAACACCCAGATGCACGGCTTAGTCGGGAAGCCATTACTGTGAGTGCCCCAAAGGCCAAATACCGTAGTATTACCGCTGATTCGAGTTTGTATGTAGTTACTTCACGAGTGTGTTCGTATCACTGGGTGTCTTTCTTTTTGGTTATGACCAGGGTGTAATGTCGGGAATCATAACGTTCGTGTCTAATCCCCCGAGTATAGGCTCACCATGAAGATTAGGAGCAGGAGGTGGCTAACTGATGCAGTGGCTGGTACTTCAAAGATTACTTCAACCAGCCTTCTCGGGCTACAATTGGTACTGTGGTTGCAGTTCTCGAAATTGGAGCATTTATATCCTCGCTCCTTGTGGGACGTGTTGGTGATATGATCGGCCGCCGAAGGACTATACTCTATGGCTCCATAGTGTTCTTCATTGGCGGTGCTTTTCAAACATTTGCCACAGGTATTCCCATGATGATGGTCGGCCGTGTCGTTGCTGGTTTAGGCGTTGGTGCCCTCTCTACGATTGTGCCAGTTTACCAGTCTGAAATTTCGGTTTGTGATTCCCTTTCTCCATCAATTCCTGAGGCCTTTTGTTGCCCCCTCCCAGTTCTCTCGTCTGGTATGCTGACGAATTTCAAGCCTCCCCACAACCGTGGGAAGCTCGCATGCATCGAATTCACCGGCAATATTGCTGGGTATGCGACTAGTGTGTGGGTAGACTATTTCTGTAGCTTTATCGATAACGATTACTCCTGGCGCCTCCCACTCCTTTTCCAGTGTATCATGGGTGCCTTGCTTGGAGTTGGCAGTCTGATGATCTGTGAATCACCTAGGTGAGTAGAAACCTCCCCCAACTTCTGCCAGGCTAACTCCCACATCCCTACTTAGGTGGCTTCTTGATAATGACCACGACGAAGAGGGCATGGTGGTGATCGCAAATCTTTATGGCGAAGGTGACCTTCTTAATGACAAGGCCCGCCAAGAATATCGTGAGATCAAGATGAACGTCCTCGTCCAGCGCCAGGAGGGCGAACGGTCCTACTCGGACATGTTCCGCCGGTATCGCAAGCGTGTTTTGATTGCCATGTCGGCTCAGGCCCTAGCTCAGCTCAACGGGATCAATGTCATCTCATACTATGCGCCTCTGGTTTTTGAATCGGTATGAATACCATATGCTGCTATGAATCCAGTGTCTCCCTCCCGCGCCGCCATGTCGGATTCAAACAAAATCCAAAGTGATTCAAGATTATGCTGACCAAATATTCGATACAGGCCGGCTGGGCTGGACGGGATGCCATCTTGATGACTGGAATCAACGGTATTTCATACCTTCTGTCTACCATACCACCGTGGTATCTGGTGGATGGCTGGGGTCGGCGACCGATCCTACTTTCGGGTGCTGTTGCCATGCTCATTTCGCTTTCTCTTATCTCCTACTTTATTTACATTGAAATTCCCGCCACCCCAACCTTGACGGTCATCTTCGTTATGCTCTATAACGCAGCTTTCGGGGCATCTTGGGGCCCCATTCCATGGTTATACCCCCCGGAGATTTTGCCTTTGAGTATTCGTGCCAAAGGTGCAAGCTTGAGCACCGCTTCAAATTGGGCATTCAATTGGCTCGTGGGCGAGGTGACCCCTGTTCTTCAGGAAGTTATCAAGTGGCGGCTATATCTGGTCCATGCATTCTTTTGTGCATGCAGTTTTGTGCTTGGTAGGATCCCTCATCCGTGGTTATCCACTAGGGAGCAGTATACTGACTACCAATCCCCACAGTTTATTTTTTGTATCCCGAAACGAGTGGAGTCCGCCTAGAAGATATGAACGTTCTTTTTGGCGACGCTTCCACCGCCATGCCGACACCCGCCACTCAAGGCGAGCGGGGGTCGCTGATGGGTGCTGGTTCACCCGTCCCATCGCTTGACCTGCGTCGGCAGTATGGTCAATTTGGGGCAGAAAATTCTATCCCTGGTCTAGATATTGATCCGCCGACTTCGAGCCATGAGGGGACCAGCAAACGCGGACGCTCGGATTCTCACCAGGGCAGCGTTCGCGGCGAGGGCATTGGTGGCTGGATCTCAAACATGGTCAGTCGAAACCGAGGAGCGGGCCCCAGTGCTACTAGCAGTCAATATAGACGTTTGGAGCAAGGAGAAGGAGACGAGCAATGAAAAGGTTACGGATAACTGTGGCCTCGGACTGAATAAAGGAAACCAGAAAGACCAAAGAATTCGATGTTATATATTCTCCTTTCCCTATTTACCAATGTCTTCGGTTGATTTCGTTGTGATCACGTTCGCGGTACATATGTATAGTATAGTTAACTACTTATATACATTATAGGTATGATATCTACTAGCAGCATTAGCATCCATGGATATAAATGCCATCTGTAGATACAACATACATAACTAAATAGTATGTGCAATGTACATAGGTTTTGAAAAGACCCTAACCATGAACGGATACTTCTATTATGTATATTAATGTACTCCGTACGGAGTATATATATAGTCATAACTATTTATAGTGTACTAGGTATGTAGGTAAGGTACCTAGGCTGGAACTGGGAATTACAAGGGCCAGGTTCTGAAAACGGCCCGCTAAAAGTGGACTGTTTATCCTCTTGAGGCCACGGATCTCACTTTCTCCTTTATTCTCTCAGCCCACTCTCTTGTTTCACTTCACTTCATTTCATTTCATTTCTCTTTTTCTTTTTCTTTTTCTTTTTGATCTACTCCTGGCATTGCTTCCGGTCTATCCGTTAGCTTTGCCCATTCTATCACTCATTTACCCAGGGGAATGGCTGTGTTCGCTTAAGCTATCCGCCCTTCTATTATCGGTCTACCTCGGTATTCCCCAGTTTAACTTCCTACTGTTCTCCCATTCTGTTTAGCACATTTTCTTTTGAAGATACCACAAGGCGCACTATGGCGGGCATAGACACTGCCGTGAGCACGGGCGCCAAACCCGAGTCTGACCTTCGTCGAAGAAATATCCCTGATACTAGCAAACTTCATGCGGACTCAAACCGGATCAATGATGAAGATCTGAAGAAATCTAGAACACAGGTGAGATAACCTTCTTCAACATCATGATATACGCTCTTCTAACCCCCACTGGACAGTCACCTTCGTTCCTCCATGTGCTAGCTAGCTGGGAGCCGATCATTGCTCCCATCATCTTGACTGCCCTCGCTCTCTTCACCCGCCTGTACCAGATTGGTCGTTCCAACATTGTTACCTGGGATGAGGCCCACTTTGGTAAATTCGGTTCCCACTATCTCAAACGCGAGTTCTACTTCGATGTCCACCCGCCTTTGGGAAAGATGTTAGTTGGCCTGTCCGGGTATCTTGCTGGTTATAATGGGTCTTTTGAATTCAAATCTGGCGAGAAATATCCAGAAGATGTGAACTATACCTTTATGCGAGCCTTCAATGCCGCCTTTGGTATAGTCTGCATTCCCCTTGCCTACTACACTGCGCGAGAGTTGAACTTCCGCCGCGCCACAGTCTGGTTGATCAGCCTGATGGTGCTGTGTGAGAACTCCTACGCGACAATTTCTCGGTTTATACTTCTTGACTCCATGCTGCTCTGCTTCACATTTACTACCACAATGTGCTGGGCAAGATTTCATCGGTTGCAGCGTGATAGCTTTTCACTGGAATGGTATGCCTGGCTCTGTCTGACTGGCTTGAGCATTGGATGTGTCTGCAGTGTCAAATGGGTCGGTTTCTTCTGCACTGCCCTCGTCGGTCTTTATACTATTGACGACCTTTGGAATAAATTTGGCGACCTGAAGATGCCCCGGGTGAGTCCCTGCTTTCAGCACCCCCTCCCCCCCCAAGTCGATCACCGATCAGCTGGCTAATACTGATGCGTTTGAACAGGCTGTGCTCGCAAAGCACTTGGTCGCTCGTGTTGTGGGATTGATTGTTATTCCAATCTTGGTCTACATGTTTTCCTTTTATCTGCACTTCTTGGTGCTGGCAAACAGTGGTCCAGGTGATGCCCAGATGAGCTCTCTTTTCCAAGCCAATCTACAGGGCACCGAGGTTGGCAGAGATAGCCCTCTTGAGCTTGCAATTGGGTCCCGTATCACACTCAAAAATATGGGCTATGGAGGAGGGCTTCTGCACTCCCACGTTCAAACCTTCCCAGAGGGATCTATGCAGCAGCAAGTCACCTGCTACCACCACAAAGATGCCAACAACGACTGGTTCATCTACCCCAACCGACAGGAGCCGGACTACGATGCCACTGCTGATCTGCGGTTCGTTGGTGATGGCGATGTCATTCGGCTGATCCACGGACAGACAGGTCGCAACCTGCATTCCCACGCTATTCCTGCACCAATCACCAAATCCCACCACGAGGTATCATCTTACGGAAATATTACCATTGGAGACGACAAAGACCACTGGAAAGTGGAGGTAGTCGATGATGTTGCATCTCGGGACCGATCTAGGATCCGGACACTCACAACAGCGTTCCGACTCCGCCATCCGGTCCTAGGCTGCTATCTGCGGGCAGGAAATGTCAATCTACCCCAATGGGGCTTCAAGCAGATTGAAACAACGTGCACCAAAGAAAACAAACCCAGCGATGTGTACACTCACTGGAATGTTGAGTCTCACACTAATGACCGCTGTAAGCTTATGCCCTTTTTAAAAACTTGATATTGACGAGCCCAATCAGACTTATTAACTGACCTCTTCACAGTGCCCCCCGGTGACCCTGGCTCCTATAAATCGCCCTTCTTGAAGGACTTCATCCATCTGAATGTGGCCATGATGACCTCCAACAACGCTCTAGTTCCTGATCCTGACAAGCAAGATGACTTGGCTTCTAAGTTTTGGCAATGGCCGATTCTCAATGTCGGCCTGCGCATGTGTTCTTGGGATGATAGCGTTGTTAAATACTATCTCCTAGGAAACCCTCTGGTCTACTGGGGAAGCACTGCGGCTCTTGGTGGATTTGGTCTTCTATTCCTTTGGTACCTTTTGCGCTGGCAGAGGGGGTACAATGATCTCAGTAACGAGGAGATCAGTCACATTCACTACTCTGGTTTGTACCCTGTTATCGGATGGGTGTTGCATTACCTTCCCTTTATCATCATGGCCCGCGTGACTTATGTCCACCATTACTATCCGGCTCTCTACTATGCCATCCTGAACTTCGGCTTCTGCATTGATTGGGTGACACGGAGAATGAACCCCAGATTGTCTGCAGTGGTATATGCCTTCCTTTACGTGATCATTGTCGGGTTGTTCATTCATTTCCGAGCCATTGTGTTTGGAATGGAGGGCTCTAACCAGCAATGGACTCACCTACGCTGGCTACCCGGATGGAAGCTGGCGAATGTGAACTGATTATGGATCGTTTGATGAGCTTCATGACGTGTTCTCGTCCTCTCTGCTTGTTAACCCGTGTTGACCACCTCAAACTGGATCTTACATTAACACGAATAATTTCAACTTTATTTCTGTACCTGTAAAGAAAAATGCAATGTTATTAGAGATAGTTGAGTTCTTATTCCAACAGTCATAGTCACCAAGCGTGCCTGGTAACGATTTAGTGGAATATGAAGATGTGTCGGGGGCCATATGCCACTGACTATTTATTATTACGGACTGCAAATTTAGCAACACCCTCCAGTCCAACCGTTGCCACCTTTGCGCATAGCATCATCCATCCCTAATGTGACAGTTCGAGGCACTCCGGTGTTTGCTCCTCCTGAGGCTCCAAATCCTTTCACGCCGCTCCGCCGATCATTGAGGTCGTATTTTCCCGTTTCGATGTTACGATAGATTCTCTCGGCAACCTCCAGGAATGCTCGTTCCACACCATCCCCAGATTTGGCGCTCGTTTCGACATAGCGAACCACATTATTCATGCGACACCATTCTTCGGCCTCCTCCTGGGTGACCTGCCTTTGATTTGATCCAGAACTGGCCCCCGTCAGATCAGTCTTATTACCGACCAAGATGACAACAATGCCATCTTCTGCAATATGCCGTAGATCCTGTAGCCACTGGGTGCAGGATACAAAGGTCGAGTGCCTGGATATATCAAAGACTAGGAGAGCGCCAGAGGCGCCCCGGAAGTAGGAGCGGGTGATAGACTTGTATGTCTCTTGTCCAGCAGTATCCCACAGTGAGAGTTTCATGCGTTTCTGATTGGGAGAACCTTGTGGTTTGCGTGGAGGGGTAGGAAGCCCGGAGGTGGTAGATGCTTCTGGGAATGTATCACCTGACGATCCGGGAGAAGGCTCATCAAGTCCTAACTCTAATGAAGCTGGAGGACCAACTGGCACAATTCGTGACCCGAACTCGACTCCAATGGTTACATCATGAGATGGGGAAAAGCGGCCTTCACAAAGTCGGACGGTGAGCTATTGTTTGGGTTAACGTGAGGCACAAGGTCAAAGACCGATAGCACTTACGCTGGACTTGCCAGTGCCAGAGTCACCAATGCAGACAAGCTTAGCAATATAATCCCATGGCTGTGACATGGAGATAGTAGAAGTTTCAAATTCCAGAATCAGATATGAGAAAACAAAGTGAAGGTTAGTTTATCTACGATGTAGGTACGGTTGGTGATATGGATTGGTTATCAGCTGAGTCATCTATCAAGCCTGACGTGCCCATATGACGCTTTCATCAGCTGCGTGACCCTACAACATATACCCAAGTTCTCCTAGATTTCACATATCTCAAACTAAATCCAAAGTTCTTCCTCTCTCTCTCTCTCTCTCTTCCTCTCTCTCTCTCTCTCTCCCCCATCCTTTTACTCTCTAATATCTGATCGTACTTGATTTCCTCACCATATTCCCTTTGGTGATTTATCACTGGTCCTGTCCCACTCACCGTACTTCCTTGATTGCGATAACGGGCCATGTTCTCTGAATGTAGGAACTGGAAGGTCTCTGAGTATGAGATGACTATATGGCTAACACTTAACCTTCACCTTAGATGCCTCACGATTTCTTGCTCAGTCACAGTCACGAGTAACCTCTCGACCAGATGAGATTCAAAGAACGGGTCGTAGCCGCCCTAGTCAACACCAAGGCAACCCTCGGCACCCCTCATCACGCTCCTTTTTACGACCTAGCGATCCTTATCGACCGGGTGCATCCCAGACATCTCAATTTCCTTTTGTCCCCCGAGGC